CTATAGTTCGTTGATAGTAATATTTGGTGAGTGGTGGCGTTCCAGACACTCAAAAACCATTAACTGCACTTTTTCAATTGCTCAAAAGTCATGAGAACATAGTGGCCATAGAGACTGTTAAAGATGTCTTGTATCAAAGAAGGCTTAGACTGTATGCGCAGCATGGAGTCTGCACCATCATGCTAAGAATAGAATTAAAAAGACTTCAAAAATAGGGCAAAGCCATAAGTCTAAACACGTCTGTAATTTAATCGTTGGAGCTCAAAATGGTATAAATGCAAACAAGAGCTGATTGACTTATAAAAACAATAGGATGATGGATGATGGACCTGTATGACGATGTTGAATGCAAGTAGGTAACATGTGTTCTTCTTGATGATGCGGCACGAAAACGAATATGGTCGTGATGGTTTTACAATCCAAAATTAGACTTATTAATTTAAGTTTCAAAATAAACAACATTGTTAATTTATGCTGAAAAAAAAGTAATATTTTCTATAAAATGCAAGATCAACAACAATTCAGCAACAATACAGAATTATCGAGAAAGTTTAATTTCATCAAGGAGCCATCCCTTATCCTTTATAAAAACTCCATTTGGTCAATTTTGAAACAACTTTGAAGAGCCTTCTATAGGTCTTCTGAGTTTCGTGGCATCTGCTTATGGGCATCATTGTCCAGTTCATTCCCCAAGAGTTCCGATTGAAACCAAAATTTTCAAACTTTTGTTGGTCGGACCAGAGGACCAATTTTTTATGTTGTTTTGGCCATATCATTTTTTATTGCAGTTCAGAGAGTGGTTTCTACCACAATCCTACTTGCAACCTGATCTTCTGTTTGAATATATATATATATATATATATATCTTTGTTGTAAATCATAATTTTAAAATCTGTAAACGCAATGAAATTAAAAAAAAATTGAAAATACATAATATAGCATACGCTGGAGCCATAAACTGCAAGTATCGTTTTCTTTAAAGTTTAAGATGATTAAAAAGAGTGTAAAAAAGCATAACAAAAAAGTATTTCGAATAATGGAGAGGCTAACCAATTTATAAAAATATTCTATTTTTACGCAAATTAACCTTGCTATCTGACAAGTCTTGTAATTACTATGAACTAATTTTCTTTGTACGGAATAATTTTATCAAACTTAAATTTATTTTTTTTCAAAGAAAGCAAAAGCAAAATACTTTATCTTACAAACCTTGCTATAAATAGAGAACATAGTGGGTAGCGTCTACATCAAATAGTTTTAATAAGACAAGAATTCCAATCTGATTTAGTGTTTTGATGAAAATGTTTTTATAGTGTCAAATTTTGATTTTCAAGTTGTGTTCGATTTTATTAAAGTTTAAAGTATATACTGTTGTATATATTATAGCAATATAGTCTATATCAAGTTGTTGCGCTAAACTATTTATTAGAGATTATTCAATAATTTAAAATTCATTTTTATTTTTCTTCTTGGTGAAGTGTTACAGAATTTTAGCTTTTAAAAGCAGTATTTATTTAATATGAGGAAATTTGTAGAATAGCCAACGCAAATGATTACAGAGTTACATAGTATTAAACTATTTGCTTTTAATTCTAAAGTCAGCCAATTTTCACATCGTCATTAGTTTTTATCATGAAATTGAAGATTTAAATTTAACCCCGCATATAAATCATTAATGCAATATATTTTCGTTAATTACTTAATAGTTAACCTAGTATAATTGTCAGTTATACACTGTTGGATATTTCTTGGAAAAAATGGTTAAATAAATGTTTTTATTGTTATTTTACCATATTGAAACAAAACAGTCAAACAACCATAAATAAGATCGTAATAAAACTGTTAATTGTGGGAAATGCCGTTTATTAACTGCTTTCATCTAATATGGTTAAACAATCAGAACTGAGTCCACCTAATAAAGCCACTAAGTTCCTTGCAACTGCGTAGGTGTCAGTTTCGGGAACGACCGAACTGGGTTTTGAGTCTCAGCGTTGGCACCACAATATTTCCTCGATTCGCTTCAACGCATGAAGAGTATCCAGAGTTCTGCTCTACCCAACTTGTGTTCTGCTTTCTCCAGTGCCCATTATTATCAAAAAGTCTAGCTCCTACATTCAGTTCAGTTGCGTTTTTTATGGTTTTGAAACCATGCTAGTTGTAAATGTTTAAAAAGCCTCATAGTTTCGTATTCATGGTCTTATAACAATATTAGTTTGAGACGGTTTCAAAAATGCATAGGTAAGAATTTTTCTTTGCCATAAGATGCATGGTTTATCGGATGGACAGACTGCTGACGGTTTTGTTTACCACAATTTAAGAATAAAAATTCAAACAGTGTTAAAAACTCAGCAAATCTATTAAGAAAGTTTTGATTTGGAAATATAAATAAGAATGAGGGACAAAAAAATAAAGATTATTTTTAAATGTTATTCAAAATATTAATTTGACTATTTATATTTTGAAATTCACGAACAAAGATTTCTATTAATTTAAGTAGATAAATGGAGCAGATGGTGCAGATAAAATAAAGTCAAATTCGCCATTTAGAAATTTAAATGTTAGAAAATAATGCTTCCTGAGGAATATGCCCAAAGTTTTGTTAATTAGTTTATAACTATGAGTTATTGAATTCATTTTTAAAAATTCATAACGTATTGAAAACTATTATTAAAAGTTTAGTAATCAGTTGTAATAGCGTGCATAGACTTTTGCTTATGTTGGAAATTCTTGATTCAAAATATAAACTAAGTATTCAGTTATTAGTCAAATTATTAAAAACTAGTTAGTAATCTTAATAATCTTAATTAAAAAACAATGAAAATTTAAATATTTGAAAAATAGGGAAAATTCAGTTATATGTTATGAAAGCGTGCATATATTTTTGTTGATTTAGAATTTTGTTTTATTTAATTTTAGAAATGGACCGACAAATTTTTAGTCTAAATTTTAAACTTAGATTGTAAATAAATCTTATCAAATAAAACAAATCAATGTCTATCATTTAAATTAGTCATTTATTTTAGGTAAGCAAGGCAACGACTACATCACTGAATTAATTTCCTTTTATTAAAATAAACCTGTTTAAACATAAACAAAAATGTTTAATTTTGTAAATGGTCGACTTGAATTTTACGATTAAATGGCTGCGTTGCTTGTACTCATTAAATACGAATTTTTAGAAAGAAATATGTAACAATAAATTGGAATTTAGTGATGCTACAGCAGAAAAAGAAAATAAGTTATCCGTCGAAAACAGATGTAAGAGTCATGTCATAAATTCTTAAAAACTACGAAAGCAGTTCATTCCCTAATTTTATGTAACAAGGTAAATTCTATTAAAAAGAATAAGGAAAGATAGCTACCAAAACAAATACCAGCGTATTTAAAGTAAGTTATAATTTAGAAATATTTTCTTAACTTTTAGTTTTCTACAAAATGCGTTTACAAAGTATCCCAAGAACACTTATATTTATTAAGGACAACAAAATATTCGCTTTATGTATTCATTATTATAAACTTGCATTTATTTCTCTAAAATTCATTGTTATAACAACGGAAGAAAGATATTATTCCTGATATCATTTGTCAGTGCTTTAGTTTGAGCAATTATATACCAATATACTTAGCGCAATCACTTATTTATTTCTCCGAAACTCATTTTTATAACAACGAAGAAAATAATTGAATGATAACGATGCTTAATTTGATAATTTTATCTTGATACCTAAAAGCATGCCATAAAAAGGATTTATTCCATTAAATTTACTTTTTAGTTGTATATTTTTAACTAAATGTGTCATAGTAAGAACAGTAATTTTAAAAACTAGAATTTCCGGTACACTGCTTCATATCATCGAAAAACTGATTAATCGATTGGGTTAAATATCATATATTTTGCTTTTAAATATCAGAAGTATATTTTTTCTTAACAGAAGTACCTTTTCCATACAGTACGGTAACTTCACCAGATTTTTTTCCACTGTGTAGTATTAAAGAAAGAGCTACTTATTAACAAAAGCTAAAAAACCCTTAAGTAATTTTAAGCTTCGTATGGCGTATGGGCCCTATGGGCCAAGGTCGCGACATCAAATTCCTTAAGCTTACAATCTCAAATATTATAAGATAATAAAAAAATTAAGAAGATTTATCATCTTAACGAATTTAGAAAGTAAATATGGTTTGTTTGAACAGTATACCTAATTACCCTTTACAATATTTCCTATCAAAATTAATTTTCATTGGAAAAAAGCTTATAAATAAAAATTAAAATTCTTTACTCCCTATTTGGTAATAATTTGCTCCATATTTAGTATTTCCTCACTCAATATTAGACAATGAATCAAAAATTTATATCCTCACATAACATATATACGATCACATATTGTTTCAAAAGTTAGATTTCTTTGTTCACGCATATCTTTATGAAATATACGATATAACATAACTATATATAATTATTTAACTTTTAAAAAAATTCAATATTGTAAGTCAAAATATTCGATTATTTACATTCGTAATTTGTTTACATATACTTTCCAGCTAGAAAAATAGACCTGTAATTAAATTCCCAAAGGAGTAATAAAATATTCGTAAGTTAAACAATTATGCTTATACTTATAACTAATAAAATTGTCTCTTGTTATAAATTTTGAAATATCTCAACTTACATTCATTAGTAACGCTTTAAATTTACTATTATTAACTAATTTTTAATAACTATATTTAGAAGGAATTAACGTTGAATATCAAAAATAATAATTAATGTTTTCTAAAAATCCTTGAATGCAGACTAAAACTAATGTATAATGAAACTGAAAATAATTAAAATTGAATTATTTTTTGATGCAAAACTATAGAATCTATAAAAATTAATCTAAAAAAATTACCAAATCGCCTAAATTGAAAGTGTTTAATTACTCAGTAGCTATTAAAATGCCTTCAATAATGTCTCCTATCCAAGAAAATCATTTGCATTTAAAACAATTGAAATAAACTCTTACCTTTGATATTTGAAAGGAATTACTTTCTCTCTCTTAGGTCTTTAAAGAATTTAACAATCTAGTAAAAGGCGAAAAGCGTTATTTCACAAATTAAATGACATTTGGCTGAACCGATTTTGATTTCGCCAAATCTCGTAATTTGTTTAAAACAAGTCTCTTGCTTGAATGAGAGTAATTCGTGATGGCTTCGAATTGTGAAACTACAGGAAACCGGACCTTAACTCGACTGTGTTCCACTTTGAAGAGATGACCTTTGACTTAAAGAGAGAAATCAGAAACAATCATGTGCCACCTTCAAAGATAAATGTATATCTAATTTATTCATGCGTTAAAATGCCTTTTGTTTATTAATTTGAATCGTAATTTCAGTAACTGCGAGTGAACGAGAATTATTTGATTGAATATTTTTCTGTAAGTTATCACAATAAATTTTTTTTGACTGGTTTAGGTTATTATACTAGATATCATTTAGAAAGTGAATTTTTATTTCTTCAAAATTTTTCTAATTTTTAATGCGTTAAAATATGTCTTTGTTCACTAAATTAAACCGTTCCGTTTCTGCGAGGGAAAGAGAATAATTTGATTGGATATTTGTATAAGTACTACAGATTATTTTTAAATGACTTGAATTATTGTTCTAGATTTCCGTTAAAGGGAGATATTTATATTTTCTGTGAAATTTTTCGACTTATGCAGGTGCGTGTGTTAAAATGCGTCATTTCCTATAAATGTAAATCGTTGTTTTAGTTACAACGAGAAAGAAGTATTTGATTGCATATTTTTGTGCATGAATTATCAATATGAATTATTCCTGGCCATTTTTTGTTGAGAATTATTATTCTAGATTTCTTTTTGAATGAGAATTGTATATTTTCTGCAAAACTATTCAAATTATTCGTTCATTAAAATACGTCATTGTTTATTATGTAGATGTAATATAATTATTTGATTGCACATTTGCATGTGCATAAATTATCAATATAAATTATTCCTGGTTATTTTTGATGCGAATTATTATTCTAGATTTCTTTTAAAAAGAAAATTTTATATTTTCTGCATAATTATTCAATTTATTCATGCGTTAAAATGAGTCATTGTTTATAAATTTAATCCATCATTTCCTTTAATATGAAGCAGAAGGAATTATATAATTGCATATTTATATCAGCATAAGTAATATGGATATTTTCTGACCATTTGTGATTTGAATTATTATTTTAGATTTCATTTGAAGTGAAATGTTGACATTTTTTGTAATATTATTAATTAATTTAAAGTTTTTAAAGCTATTATCTGGGGATTTTACTGGAACTATGAAGCTGCTATATTAAATAAACAAATTTTGCAATCAAGTATAAAAACCGTTTATTCAAAATAATTTCAAGTAAAATATAATTCTTAAGAATATTTATGCAAATATGAGCAAAAAAATTTGAATTAAAATTTATAATTATTTAATATTGTAAATTATTTAATTTCAAATGAAAAAATCCGAGATAGTAACAGAAACAGAACTTAAGATAATCAGTTCTTGAGTAATGAAAATTTAAAAATATTATTTTTTTTTTTGCCAAACTGATTTTGCTTAAGTTTGGTACTTTGTCAAGGAAAATTAAGCAGTTTTAAATTATGTGAAAATACATCAAGTAGCCAATTTATTATGATTACCTTACAGTAGTACGGAAATAAGATGTTGCGTCACATTGTTGACACTCGTTGACACATTGTTGACACATTTTGAATTTTCAGTACTCTGAATAAGAAGTCATACTTAAACATCGTTGTTGAATGAGTAAATTTACTAGCACTGATGATCTTTCCCAATATTGAGGGGCCATTTTAACACAATAATGATTTCCTCCATATTTCTAAGATTGTTAAAAATTCACTAGATGTTTTTCCTTTCGATGCTGGCCCCCACAATCTCCACATTTTAACTCGGTTCATTTAAATTTGTGGGATGCAGTTGAAAAAGCGTTCCCAATTGTATATGCTGAACCATCTAGTCTCATACTGTTAAAAAATCTTATTTAAGTTCCACAAATGACCTATAAACTTGTCGTTGAGTTTATATCAGTAATTAGTGCTGTATAAAAGGAGGTAATCAAATGAAACAATGTCAGAACAAAACGTCAATCCGATGAATATTTCGATATAATCGTTGATTAAAACATAAAAATGCTTATTACTAGATATAAAAAAACTTTAAATTAAGAATAACTAGATAATAGATATCTATAAATGTATAGATATTAATTTATTCGACACTGTTAGGATTTTCATTCTCAAATTATGTTAAAATAACCGGCATCAGTCCATCCATTCAATTAACTATGAAGTTTACGGTAAGGATCGCTTTTTACCTTTACGGTTTTGAAACCGTTAACAACTAGTATGGTTACAAAAAACATGAATACAAAACTATATGGCTTTTTAACCAGTTACAACTAGCATTGCTTCAAAGCGGTAAAAAAGAAATTCAACTGCACATTGGAGATAGTTTAGCAGCTTTATGGTGCTGCCATCTATGCGTGGACGAGAGTACCGTAATCTAAGAGCCCAGGGTCTCAAATTGGGGAGTGCAGGACACTGGAAACTCTTCATGTGTCGAAGGAGATGGAGGAAATATTGACATGTCAACGTTGGGACCTGAACCCTCATTCGGTTGATCATGTGATTATCAGATTCGCCCTTTCGCCTACAATATGTTCTCATATGCAAGGGGCTAAATGGCTTCATTAGGTAAGTCTAAACTGTATTAGGTGAAAGTAGCTAATAAACGGTGTTTTTCACAGTTAACAGTTTGAATACCATTTCATTTATGGTTCTTTGATTGCTCTGTTTGAATATGGTAAAATAACAATTAAATAAATTATTTTAACCATTTCTTCTGAGAAATTTTTAACAGTGTATAATTATTTTTAATTAGAAGCTTTTCTAGATGTTATTACTAATTGTAGAATAAATTAATATCCATGAAATACATTAATATTTACATACACATGTAGTGTGTTTAGGGTTAAGAGAAGGGTAACTTTTTTTTAAAATAGTGTGCAATATTTTCATCAAAGTAAGAAATTAAAAAATCCTTAGAATCCTTTTTTGACAGAAAAATTTGGCATTGATAATAAGAACTTGATTTCGAAATTGCACTATTAAGGTTGTGACAACCCTTTACTTATATATTTAAAGTATAAAAAATCACTGCTTTTATAATCTTATAAAAAAAATATATTTTTAAATGAACTTCAACCTTTGCAAGACTATCAAAAATTTTGGGGAAATTTTGCAAAATGGAAGACGACTTAATATATCTTATTTTGGCCTATTTAAAATGAGGAAACTAATCTTAAAAAAGGATCCTCTAATAAAAGAGAAATTGTTGTTTTGCTCATTTTTTTCATGAGTTTATTCATAAATAAAATAAGAGTATTAAGATATTTGGGCTTCAAACAATTCTAAATAAGTAAAGTGTACGAAATGTTAAAGTTCATTTGCAATGTTTTTTTATATAAAATATTTTATTATTCTTCAACATTAAGGAATCTGAATTAAACAAATTCAAAGTCTAATATTTTTCTGAAGTATTAATTTTATTTTTAATATATATCATAAACCTCTTAAAATTTTTTTAATTTAGACTAAATAATTGATAATCTGAAAATATTTAGGAAGATCGAATCATTTGAATATATTTAAGGTGAAAGTGCAATAACTACAACAATGGAAATATGAAGATAAATGTTATATCATTAATATTCATCAGTGAAAATATCGCAATGAAATAAGTCACGATTTTACAACCCATAAAAATTTGCATTATTTTTTTTATCTATTATTTTTAATGAACTTTTTGGTACTTGTGTGTCAAGATTCAAAAAAACTAGGTCGAACCTCTTAAAAAACATCAGTATTTCATTTACATATCAGCTGGATATATTCATAGTAATCAAAGGTTTCTAAAGAATTAATAATAGACATGAAAAAATGAATAGGTTATCCTTTAAATATTGTGATTTTCTAGATGATATAAATAAAACTCTCGTCATAGAATTTTTTTTTCTATGCGTATGAGAATCCTATTAGTTTTGAAAATAAAAGGTTACTAAATATAGATAAGCAAATGAAAGGTTTCTTAGGTATTGATACCCACTTTTATGTATAATCACTATTTTTATTTTATTTTCGAAGCTTTCTGAGAATTTTTTTCTGAAGTAGAGGCGAAAAAGAATGGAAAGAATTCGCCATGAAAAATGACTTTTATAAGTTTCAAAGAGAGAGTATTTATGATTTTATTTGACTAACTTTAAGCCTATTGTTTAACTACTTAATAATAAGCAAAATATCTTTCATGTTAATATTCATTTTTTCCAGCTAAATTTCATATTGTGTTATTTTAGTTGAACGGCATTACTTTATCTTTAGTATTTTAAACTGGTTTTTATTCCAAAATGAGCACGTATAGCTTTCCTCATTAAAGTAATTTTATGATGTAAAAGTGCAATTTTCTAAAATATGTTTATAATAAACTCATTTGCAAATCATTAATAAAATCATTAATAAACACATTTTCATATTCATTTCTCATTATTCAAAAGTATTTTTTAATAAAATATGCAGTTTGAATTCTATTATATATAATCAATCTTAGAAAGATAAGCTATGTTACAGCGTATTTTTTCGCGTTTTATAACATTTAACGCAAAATCAAACTCTTTCGGTATAATACCCTGTAGCCAAATGCGAACATAATGCGTAAAACTTGAAATGAAAGAAAAAAGGCAATAATACATATTTTTAAGGAAGATAAATTAAAGGCAAAATGAAAAGAGAAACCGGAAAACAAGCAGAATAAATTAAAAATAATAATCACTGGGTCATTTGGGTGACATTTACATTAAAAACGCTATTTGTTCCTGAATGAAGCTTCAAAATAATATTTTTAAATATTTACCTTTACTTTAATACATTACTAAGAGGAATAAGATTTATAAAACAAAATTATATTTAGATAACTTAGGTTCATAGGACCCACTCAATTCTGGGTCACTTAAAAGAATTACACTGTTAGTTATTCTTTAACTTCAAAATTAAATGAATGTCAAGTTTATTTAATGCACGTATTTTTTTTTCAATCCGTTAAATGATTTTTCTAAATTTTTTGAACCTATGACGGATATTAATAAGCAATTGATTTTCATTTATTCATCTGTAAAAGTGGTATAAAAATAAAATTGTATGGTGCATCATAAATTTCGACTAAATTGTGCATCGATAAT